AAAAAAACAATAAAAAACAAACAACACCACATAGCAAATATATTCATATACTGTATTCAACTGTCGAAAGTGAAAATGAAAATTGAAAAATATAATGAAGATTTTTTTTTTGAAATTTTCACAAAATGTTGAAATTGAATGTTCTCTCTCCTTATTGTTTTCACTAATCTTAAAATCGTAGCTAGATTTTAGCAAGGACATTTTAAACATAATATAACTGGTTAAAGTAACCGACCTAAAATGCTGGTTGTCTCAGGTATATGCCTTGAGGCATTAAAAATGTTGGTTATAATAACCAATATTTTTTGGTTGCTACAATCCCAAGTAAATTGTTTGTAATAACTAATATTAATATATGGTGGTCGTAACCCAAAGTACTATAATAATAATGGTTGACATGAACTATYTTGTTGTAACCCAAAGTGGATAGCCTGGGTACCCTGTGCTGTCTTCATGAGCCTATTTCCGTGTAGTTTCCCCCACAGGCGCTTTCAGTGTCGTCACGCAACGCTTTCTCCCCTGTCTAAAAGTCTAAAGACTATCTCAATGATTGTCTAGAATATTAAGTAAACTCGGCTATACTGGTGACAATTTTAAGGGTACTGAGTTTGGAAGTCTAGAACACCGATAGAATACCTTAGGTACTGAGTCTATAACAGTTTTAATCACGTTAGAATGTTGGTCATCACAGTGAATAAGCGATCTAAGCGAACGCTGTTAAGAAAGACCTGATGAACCCAACATAAATGACCGTATCAACAAGATTGGCTTTATAGCTCAGTTGGTAGGGAATTAACATATTTGCAAATTTTGCAATTTTCTTTAACAGTACTAATAAAAAAAAGTTCGCAATTTTCTTGACGCCGTATTAAATTAATTTAAAATTATATCATATACTAGTAAACAAAAGTTCGCAATTTATCCACTTTCATAATTTGCTTATTCACTGTGATGATCAACACATCTAACATTATTACACCACAGTTCTATCCATTCAATTCACAGTTTTAATCACGAAGTGAAATTGACTTACTGTCCGTTAACAGTGTCTTTACAGAAACACTCAAGCAACAATAGCTGATCGAAGGCCGAAAAGCTGGCACATAATTCCTAGATATATACGAACCAAAAAGTTGTCAGTTACAAGCTACCAACAAACTAGGCACAAGACACAAATGCTTCATTTTGTATACACTTACTCATATCTGTTTCTTGGACGATCAATCTCTCTTGAATTGTGATTTACTTTTCCTTTATATTTCAAAACTAGTTTGTACCAAGAAAGGATCTAAATCACAAGGAGCCCGGCTTGGTGATGCTAAATCGGTAAAAGCTTGGGTGATGAAGATCCTGTGTAGATGTTTTGAACTCCACTATTAATGTTCTGTAAGAGAATGAAGACACAATATATAAGTTAATTATTCTGAAAAAAAACAGCAGCTATGCATTACGTAACCAATATTATTTAATAATAAACTCATCACATATGTAATAAAATCACATTTATAAAAAGGAAAATACATGTATGACTGTATGACTTGCCATAGTGGCTCCTAAATAAAGTATTATGAAGAAGAAAGCTTTGAATAACTTAAGCTTTACTTTTTTAGCTATATACC